CTTTCCCAGGCTGTGACTCTGCATTTCTTAGTCCATCACAGACAGCAAAAAGTACAGAAATCAGAATCATCACATTTTAAATAACAGGAGGAATAACATCCTTAACCCATGTCTCCAAAGCACAAGATTCACTGTTTAGTTTGCAATTTAGACAAAAATATTGCAAGTGTTTAATCTCCTCTCAGCAGGGCGTTTGCTTATGGTAACTTCCGTTCATTATTCCTGCCCTTCCCACCTGGTTTTGGTGAGAAGGTAAGGCAAACCACATCCTGAAACTGAGCTGGACATGTAGTGTGGTACATCCTGTGCAAGCCACACAGGTCACAGGGTTCAGTTTACCTGTGTTCACCTTGCTGAACACTTCACCCAACCCTTCTCCACAGCCCAAGGCAGTTTCAGCAGGGACAAGAATTCATTTCCCATCTCTGGTCTCTGTACACCCCCAAACAAGTGTTCCTAATGCCCAAAGTCACACAGAACTCCCACAGTTCACTGGGAATAGGTCAGCAGATCCCTCTGTGCTGTGCTCCAAGCCCCTGTCTCCACACCTGGTTTCCAGGAAGACACCCCACACCTGGAGAAGGTCCCATCTCGCTGTTAGGGTGTTGGTTCTCACCTCCCTCCACACAGACCTCCTCCAGCCCTGCCTGGGTGACACGAGGAGAAAGGGCTGTGTGCCAGTGCCATCTTTCCCCGAGAGGAATTCCACAGGCTGGAAAGCTAACAATGACAATTAGGAGTTAGGTAGGACAAGGTTGGGACTGTGCCCCAGGCCTGCTCGAGCACTGAGTTCCTGTCAGGCCCCTGTGTTGCTCAGAGCTTCCTCTCCTTCAGTTTGCTCCCATTGGGCTCATCCAGCAGTGCTGAGTGTCCGTCACCGTTGCTCAGGCATTTGTCCCTGTCGTGCCTGTGCTCCTGCTTCTGCCTCCTGATCTCCTTGTACCGCAGAGTGATGTCCCTGGAGCAAACACAGAGAGCACAGGTCTACCTCACAGTAAGAACAATAAGGAATTCTGCTCTGGATGAAGCTCCCTTGGGATAACTTCACTCATTGGAGCCTTTGGCTGTGCATTTCTACAGCTGCTGATGGCATTGATTCAGTGGCAGTTGGTGTTTCCTGCTGCTGGCCTGGCTCTTCTCACCTCTGCCAGGGCACAACAGCCTGTTCTGCAGGAGCAGCCACTGCTGCCTCCTCTACACATCACTGCAAGTCATGGAATCATGGAATGGTTTGGGTTGGAAAGGACCTTAAAGCCCATCCAGTCCCACTCCCTGCCATGAGCAGGGGCACCTTTCACTGGCCCAGGTTGCTCCACGCCCTGTCCCACCTGTCATGGAACAATCCCAGGGATGGAGCAGCCACAACTTCTCTGGGCAACCTGTGCCAGTGCCTTAGTACACTCCCAGGGAAGGATTCCTTCCCAACATCCCATCTAACCCTGCCCTCTGGCAATTTGTACCTATTCCCCCTTGCTCTGCCACTCCAGTTCCTTTCGAGTTCCTCCACTCTAGGTTCCTTGTAGGCCCCTTCCCAAACTGGAAGGCAGCTAATCCCTTCAGCCCTGTGCAGCTGCTTCCACGGATTTGCTCAGGGCAGCATCCACACCAAACACGTCACTTGGCTCCCTTGTCCTGACCCTGGGACAGCTCAGACCACCACAGGCTGTTCTGGCAATAAGGCTGTAAAACACCTTTGTCTTGTCTAACTTGGAAGAACAATAAACCTCTGATCCCACCTGCCATCTTCCCTCCCCTGGGAGCCCAGGTGCAGTCAGGCATTTACCTGTTCCCTGCTCCTACAGCAGCACTGACACAGGCAGTGCCACAAAGTGCTTGATCCCAGAACCCTGGAATGGGTTGGGTTGGAAGGGACCTCAAAGCTCATCCAGTTCCAACCCTCTGCCATGGGCAGACACAAGATGATCCAGAAAGAAAACTGCCAGGATGAGGCACAGAGAACTCCCTGTCAGTTTGCTAACTGACAATGCAGCTGCAGCTCCCCAGGAGAGCTGTGGCCTCTCCAGGCAGCACAGAGGGGTAACAACAGCGCATTTGAGGACAGGCTGTTGCACAAACCCCCCTAAGAGCCAGGCCAGCCCCAAAAGCAGCAGTTCCCACCCCACTCACCGAATGAAGAAGCGCCAGGCTGTCCAGGTGAGTACCAGGATGATCCCCAGGATCCAGCACTGGGTGATGTAGAAGGGCAGGGAGAGGGTGAGGGTGTAGGGATCGTACTTGACCACGATCAGGAACTCCGTGGCAGTAATAGCAGCAACCAGCCAGGCCTGCTGGCCCAGCTTCTTGTGGAACTTCCTGCAAAACAAACACACACAAAACCTTTTACTGTGGTAAAATTCAGGATTTGGAGAAATCTTCATGAACAGAGAGGGCAGTAACTTCATTCAGCTTTGCACAGTTCTTGTCTGGGTCACACATGCACTAAGCCTATGCAAGCTGACAACTTTCATGTTGGGGTTACTTGTGTTTCCTCTCAGAGGCTCTGAAGCCACATGCAAAGCTCAACTTCATCACCACATGGTGCAGGGAAGTGGCTCCATTCTCAGGTAAATCCACACAAGACAATTACCTGAGCAGTCTAGACCAGCTGGGGTTTGGTATACAGTACCAAACAGGAGCTCTACGCCTGCATTTCCTCTGCAAACATCAGCCACACTGCCACAGATTTAACCCCTCTGGAATTGCATTCTGGAGCTGACTCGCTTGCCCAGGAAGTATTCAAGGGGCTGTCTGCCGCCAGACAGGACACAGCTTGATGCAAGCAACATGTCCATTTATTGTTGTTTTTCACAAATCCTTATAGTCCCTTCGCTTAGCATATTCCCTGCTGATTGGCTTGTTCTAAACATTAGGTGTGTACCAACTGGTCAACCTAAGGCACAACTTGTTGTTTTACCCCAGCAACATCCCAACTCGGGGCTGGTGAGCCAGCACGCAGAGCTTTCTGTTCAAGGGTCCCATCTCCACACCTACTCCTCCCAAGGCCCTCAGGCAACAAGTCCTAACACACACATCCCCTGACTAGCCCAGACATGCTGGAGCCTTGCTGAAAGCAGCCAGGCCACTGCCCACAGCTGTCAGTACTGATCTTGGAATGGTTTTTAAGTTGGGTGATCCTCCCCTTCCCACATCTGCCCATGACCTTTTGGGTTTCTCCCAAGGCATCCATTGTGCTGCCCGCCTGGCCTCACTTAACCACAGTGAAATCCTGTTGCTCTCATCTGCTCCTTGCACCCCCTTGGATTGCCAGCGCCTGAGAAGGGAACTAAGCACAGAGAGAGCCAACAGAACTTCTCCTCCCTCTCCTGAATCCAGGGAGTCCCTCAGTGAAGCACACAACACACAGCTTCCCACATGTCAGGCCCACAGTCATATTTCACACCAGTGCACAGTTCAAACTACACAGAACTGTCCAAATACATTGGAGAAAGTGGAATAAATCAAGTGCAGGCTCTGCCTGATGCAGAGGGGATGAATGCATTCCATTCTGAAAGGTATCCTGCCTGGCCCAGCTTGGATGAAAGGCTCCAGGAACTGCTCCAGTGGTTCAGGTGGTGACAGATGAAGTGGGCAGAGACCAGCCTTAACAGAGGGGTAGAGAGAGGAAAGGAAGCAGCAGCACCCACTGGGAATTACAGCTGTTTGGATAATGGGGGCAGCTTTCTGCTCTGCTGATCTTCCTCTTCTGTCATAATTTCCTTTCACTAACAGAATCACAGGTAACTCCACCGCAAGAGCTGAGCAGACCCTAAAGCTGCTGAGGAAGAGAGTTGGTTTCCTGCCCATCTACTCCCATAAGATTTCAAAGAAAAGCTCTTTTTCATGTAGGAATGAGATGAAAATTCCTGGCCTTGATGCAGACAAGTGGAAGTGACAGAAGACTCCAAACCAGGAATACACGTCAAGGCCAAATGCTACAGAGTGTTGCATCCAGACCTGGTGAGGAACCCTTCACACATCCTCAGAAACTCAGAGGCAGTCAGGAGAGCAGTGGTGTGTAAGAGCTGGAGAACGCCCTCACCCCTCTCCTCGGACTATGGCAATTCCAAGGACTTCCCTGTCACCACACTCAGCCCAAGGTCCTGCACGCAAAGCCCCAGGACTGTCTGCAGATCCTCAGAATCCTGAATGGGAAAAAGTCTTCATATTGGAATGTCACAGGTTTCTAGATCCAGTATCACAGGGCTGGCTGAAAAGATCAGTTTATCCCAGACAATCCCATCACCACTAGACAAGGAGCCATGGTTCTGTCAAGAAGATCAGTGGAATATTCCAAGCTTTGGGCATTTCCAAAAGGAGGATGTCAGGAAGGTTTGCCATGTGCTCTTAGCTGGGAGCCTCTGGTACAGCCTGCTCTCCCCAGCAGCTTCCCCCTACAACATCACAGGGAGAATCCAACAGGATTCCCTGGTTCCAAATGATGTGCAAGTGAAAACACACCTAGTGAAACTGTAAATGGGGGCAGGTCATCTCTGCCTGGATGGGCTGGAATGCACCAAGGAATCAAAGTCTGGCTGCAAAAGCCTCTGCAGTGAAGGTACCAGGTAAGACAAGTTCTGCCTTTCTGCAGGATCAATGAGGTCAGCTCTGAGGGGCATCAGCAGAGCCAGGAACCTCAGAATTTGCGGGCAGTCACCTTACCCACCAAGGAACACAGCAGGAGGTGGTGGTGGAGGCGATGATGAGGACATGCAGCTTGGCATGAGCTTCTCCAGCTCGCTGAAAGAACAGCACCAAATGAACAAGCAATGAGGCACCAAATGGCTCTCCCAAAGGTGTCATGCCATGTGGTTGAAGAGAGGGCAAAGGAGCTTCTCCAACCCAAACACAAGGCCCAGAAGATGAGTGGTGCTAAGGAGAGGAGGTCAGCAGCGACAGGCAGAGACCTCTTCTTACCTGTGACGTGGAGGTGTGTCCCAGAGCAGCAGGTCCAGCAGCAGGGGCAGGGCAGCCTGCCACTGAGGGATGTCTGACACCCCACTGAGCAGTGTGGGGTGGCCCCTCTTCCCAGTTCTAGGAGGCAAAGCCTTGCAAGGGAAACTGATCTTCAAGGAGTGTTGGAACCCTAAATTCTGAACACAGACACTGTTTGTGTTGGTCAGTGACAGACAAAGGACACCCCTGGAAGCTGCCTCAGGCTTAGGGTGTGACTCAGGCTACTGGGGACATTGACAGAAAAGGTGATTTTGAGGACAAAGCTTTCCCAGCTCTCACATGGTCTGCAGAGACTGGAGCAGTGAGGACAGGTATGGTGCTGAGTGGGCACAGTCTGAGGTGCATGCACTGCTGTCTGTGGGTGTGCTCCACCTTGCTCCCGAGGGCCTCTGACCTGCATGAGGATGCCAGGAGAGCTCTGGAGGGGCAGGGACCAGCAGGAAGCCAGCTCAAGGAAAGAAGGGCCTTTAAGGGTCACATTTATTTTTCAGTTTGGGCACATCCAAAGATGCAGTTCCTGTACATCAGTGTGGAAGTGCTGCCCACCAGCCAGTGGCACTGCAGCTCAGCTACACATCACATTCCCAAAGGAGATAACTGAAGGTAAAACAGTGGACGCAGAGTGCCCAAAACAACAGCTGCTCTCTGACCTGGGGCAGTGAGAGTGTTACCTCCAAAACACACAAACACAAAGCAGATGCTCTGGGCTTCAGGACTGTTTGTCCCTGACAAGCTGAACTGATGCCAACAAGCTGCAGCAGATCCAAACCAAAGCCAGTGGAGCTGAGATGGGAAGTACAGAGAGTACAAGCTTACGGGTCATCCATGAAGTCATAGATCTCCCTCATGGCCACTCCTCCCACGTTGACAAAGAACACCAGGCGCAGCAGGACCAGGTAGTGCTCTGGGGGCATCCACAGGACAAACTTCAGGTAAAACGTGTTCAGCTCTGCCAGTAAAAACTGAGAGAAAGGACACTTTAATTACACTTGGAAAAATTCACTAGATGAGGCATGGAATCTCTCTTTCTCCCTGCATGACTCCCCTCACCATCTCTCAGTCCTGCCCAGCACCACTAACTGAACCACCAGCAGCTGCAATAATCACCACCAACACTTGGGTTTTTACACCTTTTCTGTGCTGGAAAGAGGCATTAAAAACCACAAGAGAAAGCTGGACAAGCACTGCCCCTAATTTTGAACAAGTTCTACAAGTTTCTGACTTGAATTGCCTGCACAGCTACTGATAACAAACCCTTAAAGGCAACAACTTCTCTTTCCACTGTCATTTAAAATCTGGCTGAGAAGCCCCAACATAACAAGAGACATAAGCTGCACATCCCAAGAGCTTTGGTTTGGGTGCAAACATCACCCTCAAATCCCACTTGGGAGAATTGGTTCTAAGTTTAGAGCAAGATGTTCTGCAGTGAGCTGCCTGCAATGGGATCAAGGGAGCAGACAGACATCAGTTTGACACTTCAAAAGAAATGAAAACAAAGGGCATTAAGCAATGCTTAAACCAAAAGCTGAAGCTGCTTAGAACCTGTCAGTTGCTGGGCTGTGCTAAAAGAGACATTATTATCCCAAAGTCTAGCATAAATTCACTGGAATCTCTCAGCTGCTGCAGCACCTAAACCCCAGTTTCTTCGAGGTGCAACTAGTACCTATCTGGAGAAACACATATGTGATTTATACTTCTTTATTTGTTACTTCTCCCACAAAGGAGCCTTGGCCAGCCTGGGGTGTCATGTGAGCTTGGCCAATGCTTCTGCAGCAGAAATCAGGTGCTGTGAGCTTGTTCTAGCAGCTGTTAGAAACACAGAGTAATGTCCTGTGCCACAGAGTTAATGCCTGGTGCCTCTGGAATCACTGCCAGGGTCACAGGGTTGGTTTTAGTTAAACTTCACAGCTGCTGAGTTGGAATAAGTTTGAGTTGCTCAGAGCAAAGCCAAGTGACACCTGATGGAGGCACAAAGCCTAAAGTTCCCTGGCTGGTAAAGGGCAGGAGTGGGGAAAAGCACCTAGACTGCCCAATTTATCCTCCTTACCAGTGTCACAAAGGCAATACCTGTGACTGTGAAATGATGAATTCCAGATGCTGCATTCCCACAAAACAAATCCATCACCCTCTCAGATGCTGGAGGGGGCAGTCTGTCCCTCTGTGTGACTGCTGGAGCAGCCAACCTGTTCCTGTCTCAGTGGGGGCTGCTTTACCAGGATGGCGTTAAACACCATCACATGCTGAGTGTGCAGTGAAACATAAAAGAAGACAAATCTAGGCTAATTCAATTATTTAAGCCTATATAAAAATATGGTCTACGACAGAATTGTGCCTCAGGAGCTCTGCTCAGAGAAGCCAAGGCATTAGGTACAGCCCTTTCCAGACCTCTATCTACATAAAACTGAGAGAAACGAGATGCTTCCACCCAAATCCAATGCTCTGGGGAGCAGCAACTTGCTAAAGTTTATGTTGATCACATTGCCAACCAGAAGTGTTCAGCAAACAACTATTCCTGCAATGAATCTGTAACCCAGAGACACAGACATACACCCCAGTCCTGTGGGACTGGGGAGTGATCTCTTCCAGCCTCAGCTGCAGGAGTATCACCACTCGGAGATCCAGCCCGAGTCACTCGGTTGCTATGAGAGCAGAAAGGAGATGGCAGAGAAGGCAGAGGTGTCCTCACCACAAAGATGATGCCGCAGACGGCGAGCCAGCGGCGCAGGCTGGAGGCTGGTTTCCACTCAAACTTCACCCAGCTGTAGGGGGTGAACTGGAACACAATTCTCTTCATTTTGCCTCTGTAAACACCAAAACACCAGTGCAGCTTTGAGAAACAGCAGGGGGGAGACATCTACCACCATTCCCATTTGAGATAGCACTTCAGGTATGCAAAACATCTCCATTTACTCCATTAAAATCACCATTTAATGAGATTAATGAGCTACAGAAACCTCTCACTTGGACTATCAACTTAAGCTTTAATATCCTACACCCACTGCAATAAGTGATGCCTCAGTTCTGCTCGGCAAAGACACCACAGAGCAGGATGGGTCATTACTGGCACCCAACTACAAGGGATTTATTAGTTTCGTTCTCAGTGTCCCAATCCCTGTAGGGCTGTGGTTACCCAGGAATGCAGTGTTTGCACAAGGACCAACCAGATCCTTGCTGTGAGTGAAAGGGTGTGATCCCAGTTTGGATCCCAGCCTCTGCTTTAACAGTGGCACTAAATCAACTCACTTCCACAAGCTGCTCTCATTCCCAGGCATCAGGCAGTGCTCAGGGCACACAGATGTATTCCCAACAATTCCATTCCCAAGTTAACTACATTCTCCCAAACAAGCCTCCCTGCAGCAATAAGTCACCGGATCCTCAGGTCACCCAAACACCCAGGAACTCTTTAACCCACATTAACCAAAACATCCATGCCTTGAGCACAGGCCCAACCTTTGCATTGTGCCTGTGGAGCTCCTCCCCCCACAACTCACTTGTAGGTGGGAATGTTCCAGAGTCCTTGCCACTTGTATGTTTTCAAGGAAAGCCAGGACAGAGTCTTCATCCCGCAGTAAATCCCTAATCCATTACATAGGATCACGTCCATTATCCACTGGAAGGAGAAACACACAGTCATGCTGGGGAAGGGACACGAGCTGGGAACAGGGAGATGTGACAGGCGCACACAGGAGGACGTGCTCTGCTCACAGGGACTGAACATCCCAAGCCCAAACACAGCACAGGGGATGGCTGTACTCATTCTCACCGTCAGCTCAACTCCACTCTTGAGAACTCCACAAACACACCTAAACCTATTCCTGACTCCCTAAATCTGAATCTGGCCCTGGATTTCACTCTGCACAATAACTTCAGGTACTCCTGAAGCTTCTCCTAAAGAACTGACTCAGCTCCAGGCTCAAATGTGCCATTCAACACTTATTTCTGCCCCTGCTCTTATTGCCAAGTGCTAGTTCTGGAGATGCAGCTGAAAAACACACCCCTCTGTCCTCCCTGTACAAAGAAGTAGGACACAGAGTTATTTCCAAAGGTTTTTTGAAGGCAAACCAGCTTTGCTTGATGTCTTTATACATAATGCATTGACTTTTATAAATACAGCCACAGAGCGAATCATTCCAAGCTTGGGAAAGAGCCTGTGGGGTAAAACAGCCAAAGCAACACGAGAGCAGAGCTGTGTGCTCTGGTGCAGAAGATCCTGATGGCTCTGGCACCAGGTTACATCTCACAGGGAAATAAAACATCATCTAAACGGGTGTCCCTTCAAGCCTGAAGTCCCTCTGGCCTGAAAACACACACACACAAGCAGTGTTTTAGGACAAGAATACAGACCATCATGTGCAGAGACCACACAGCTCTTCAGTGAGGCTAAATGTTTACCTTCTAAATGCTTTTTATAAAGCACAGACACTGCAAACACAGCACTACTGACTGTTTTCACACAGCAGCGAGGAGAGGTTTGCATGGAAGGAAGAGCTGAACACAAAGTGCACTGAGTCTGGTTGTTTTATCAGGCAAGGAAAATCATTCTCTGAAAACTTTATACTCCAATTTTTCACTTTTTCTTAATTTCAGACTTGATGAAAGTATTTGTAAGTGCTACGGAAGAGCTTCAGATTCTTTCTTTGGTGTGAAATGAATCAAAATATTTAACCCTGGGCAAGTGTTTGAAACCCACAGAATTTATACACACAGTGACAAACACCTTAGGGCAGCAGCAATCATACATCTCTCAGCTCTCACCATTTCCCACACCTCCCTTTTTATTCCCAAGTAACTCCTGACCCCTGTGGTACATACGTGATCCCACCAGCATTCACTGAAATTTGGGAGCTGATGTTCCAGGCTGTACTCCAGGAACTCAAACATGACACTGATGATCATGCACATCCACCAGTCCCGAATCATCAGTGTCTGTGGAAAGGGAGGAAAAAGTCTTTCAGAGGGAGAAAAAGTCTTTTAAACACAACAGCTGCTAAAAACTACCACCAAAATGGAGCCTTGCACACCAGAGTGAGCAGATTCACACACCACTTACATTCATGCCTTCAGAAACCCAAATAACAGAGAATTCCATAAGTCCTGGACAGACACTGCTCAGATTTACAAGTTTTGCAACAGTATATGAAATATTATTACTTTTTTCCCCTTAAACTCCCAACTTCTGCCCTCAGGACACAAAGGACACACACAGGGTGTGCGCTGTTCACCAGTTATCTCTACAGCTGTAGGTGTTGTCTCCAGTATCCAGAAAAGGATCAGGGAGCTCAGGACAACTTTATTTCCATGATGTGATGGTCTAGTAAAGCCCAATGCTCACAAGCCTCTCAGCTTACCACAGAGGCAGCACAGGAGACAAGAAGGACACTGAGGAGTATAGATGATGACATAAATCCCACCCCGTGCAATAATAGAGATATAAAACCCACTCCATGGAAGAACAGACATAAATCATTGTCATTGAGACAACACACTCAAGCTCCAGCATTTAATAAATAGCTTAATATTTAACATATTTAATATAAAAATATGCAATGATCCAGAGGAAATCCAGCAGGAAGTTCCCTCCCAGCTCAGCAGCCCAGGAACGAACACCCTGAGGGGCTGCTGGACTCTGCCACTCAGGCTGCAAGTGACAAGGGGATGTGTCACCTGAAGGATCAGCATCTGACAAAAACCAGCTTCTTCCACACCAAGATAAGGAACAGCTGGACTGAGCAGACTGGCATATGGAATTCTATCCCACTCCAGCTCCTCAGGAATGTGTTACTACTCCCCTTATGTCTTGGCACTCACAGTTTAGGCTTTTTTCCTCAGTATTACTTCTTGGTAAAAACAAACACAGAATGGAACTGAAACGCTGTTTTGACACTTCAGTTTCTAATGGAATTCTCTTGGATGAAGAAGATCCAAGCTTTCCAGATTTCCAGCTCTGTTTACTAGCAGAACAAGACACTAACAAGCTGAAATCCAGGTCTCCCCCGTGCCCAAACTCACCTCTGGTTATGGGGGAAACCCCAGCCCAACCCAAACCAGTCCCAGAACACATCTGCACTTCAGAAATGGAAACACAAACCAACAGTTGCAGCTTGTTTGTAAAACAGCTTTGTCAGTCTGTTATTTATGGTGATCCTGTGGGTAACAACCCAAACAAGGTCTGCAGGGGCAAAATCAATGAATTAGCAAGTCTGATCAGGTTAAAAAAGCTAATGTTTAGACCAAAGTAATTGGCAAAACACATGTTGAAGGTTCTGCTAGAGACAAGCAGAGCTGGAATTCCTTCCACAGTTGGTTGGTACTGCCTAAAAAGTAACAACAGTTAAAGCACTGCTCAGTGCAATGGTTTAAAATCCTGACTTGATGCCACCGAGAAAGCAGCAGGAGCAGCCTATCATCACAAATCTGTGTTTGGCAACAGCAGACTGTCCCTGCCTGCCCCACACTCCACTTCCAAAGGTCATTCCTGCCACAGGACTGAAGGTCCTTATTGATCTGAGCCCAGAGAAGGGAGGCTACGACACAGCTTTGGAAAGGAACGAGGTGACCTGGCATGGGCAGGGCAAAGAAAAAAAGGTGGGGAAAGGCTTTTCACGTGTTCCAAACACAGCCTGGTATGAGTGGTGTGTTACAGACACAGGTTCACAGCAGCAGGGAGGCAGTAAAAGCACAGGAGCTCTGTCACACAAGGGCAACACAAGAGCCATTCTCACCTTCAGGTACCAGCCAAAAAAGTGAGCAGGAACAAATCCATCCAGCTTGTCCTGTAAAGCAAGAACAGAGAGTAGGTCACTACACAACAAACAATAACCTGTTCTTAAGCCTTGGGGTTTTTTTTCCAAGGAAAATGCAGCAATAAACTTCTGTTGTTTCACAGAAGATTTCAGGTTTTGTTCCTGAGTACAGTGACCAAACAAACTGTTTTCAAATACAAATCATCAATTTTATGGAGCAGAAATTGGGATTAGGATGGTGTTGATAAAGCAAAGAGCACCTGTTTAACGCTGAATGTCCTGTTCCTTGCCTGAAGAGGGGACAGGAACAGAGTGGGTTCAAGCCAGAGCAAGAACATGGACTCCTTCCTCAGGAAGGAATCCAGTAGAGCTTCTCCAGTGTTACCAGCCCTGCCACCAGTGCCCTCCCCTCCCAGCTTTGATGCAAGACAAGAACAGGATATCAGCTGGCACTGATCCCATTATTCCAGTCCCCAAGGCACTGCAGAGCCAAAGGATTTGGTGTTCCTCACTGTGTGCACCGAGGGAGCTGTTAATAACAAAGATTCCCCGGCCCTTGAATTCAAACCTTCTGTTTGCCAGTGAGAAACAACAACCTGATGGATTCTGGGACTCAAGAGAAGGGCAGATGATATTGTGGGAACAAAGTGGAAGGTATCTCTGCCCATGGAACTACATCATCTTTAAGGTCCTTTCCAACCCAAACCATTCTGGGATGGACTTTGTGCCTCGAGGTGACTGAGAGGAAGATTCTTTAAGCACACAAAGAAATCCAAAGCCCTAGGGGAAAATTTGACATCAACAATGTGAGACAGAAGGGCTGTTAAATAGTTTAACCCTGGGAAATCATGTAATTAGGATCCAAAGAGACACATGTGATGGACAGCAAAGGTCAGGAAAAGAGAAATGAAGAAGCCGAGGAGTCAGTCATGGCCTGGGTTATGATTCAACACTCAGAAACTCACAACTACACTTTGAAGAGTTCAATTAAACAATCTTACACTAAAAAATCCTCATTGGCAAGTGCCTTTGCTCCTTACCCAGATGTTGTGGAAGGGATCAGTTTCATTGCCTGGATCATAAATAAGGCAGTTGCCTCCATAGTCTCTCTCTGGCAGAGGAACCCCTAGGTGAGGATCAATGTACTTCATGAACTTCCTCCCATCCTGCACAGTCTGCAAAGGACACACAAACCAGAGTTCCCCTCAGGGATTTGTGCACAGAAAGTATAAAGACAAATAACAACAACAGTGATCTTCAAACTGAGCTTTTTGCAAACTTGTTGCAGAACAATTCTTGGAATCTATCCAGGCCTCAAAGGCCCACACACATTCCTGACTTTCTGAGCCTCTAAGCCTAAATATTCAGGGGGAAAATGGCTACAGAATGTCCTTAATATTACCTAAAGATGAAAAATCAGTGATCTTTAACTCAGTTCCCTAAGCCAATTGCCATCCCTCCCAAAAGCTTCACACAACTCATCCTTCCCAACACTCATTCCCAACAAGGTCCCACTAGCAGCACGGGTGATAAACTTGAAGCAAACAGCAAGAACTGACCAAAATGACCAACACTTGAACTAATTTGCTGTTAACTCAGCCACATATTTGCTGTATTTATTTCCCAATGAAATTGCTAATTGCTCAGTGTTGTGGTCAAGGTTTTACTCCAGAAGTAATGTGACATCTGTGCCAGACAGATGTCACATACTGTGACAGTACAGCAGGACAAAGCCAAAATTCATGAAAAGAATCATAAAAAAATGATAGAATAAGGCACTGGAGTCACACTAACTCTGAGACAAGTCTCAGCCACGAGTCAGCTTGTGTTTGCCGTGAGCAAGTTCAGTCACCTGCAGCCTCAGCAGAATTTTAACCTCATTTAAACCTGGGCAGAGCAGTGATGTATTTTTAGTCAAGAGCTGAGCACCAGCAGTGATGTCCTTAGCCACTAAGTCACTGGTGACACCACACACTGCCAGAGGGAATTGCTGCTGGAATTCAGGACTACCCCAGTGCCACCCAGAGAAAATCAAGTGTATTATTCAGTCTGACTGAAGCTGCTCAGGGGAATCATGTGCAAGGATGGCTGGAAAACAAAGAGGGTGGCATGGAGCAGTAATAACATGGGAATGAGTTGGAAGTAAGTATTCCTCAGGGAAGATAAATAGAGGCAAGACATGTTCCCAGGTTCAGGCCTGGGAAAGGGGCAGAACTCCACTCCCTCCCAGCAGGCCTGAAAGAAACCCTGAGAAGACATTAGGGACCTGCACTGTACCCGCAAATTATGCCAAGGGGACAGGAATCTCCCTGTTGCCACTGACCTGCTGCAGGCTCATTCCAGCTGCCCATGAACCACCAGGCCAGGCACAAAGAAACAAGGAAAAAGGAGAACAAAAGGACAGTGTGGTGTTCCTGACTGCTCAGGAGGGTCCAGACAAGCCAAGCAGAACAAGAAATGCTGGAGCCAGAGGAAATATTTGATGGGGTGGAAAAGGTTTGATCACTTTGGTCAGCATTAACACCTTATCCTGTGTTCTGAACAAGAACTCCCTTACCAGCCCAGCTAAGAACACTTTCCCAGAGTGTCTGCCCTAACTGAAGGTCAGACCAGGTGAAATATCTGTTATCATTTCCCTCAACCTGAAAGTCTCATTAAATGGGACAATGATTCCATCTCACACAAATAAAGAGCATCTCCTATAGGCAGTGAAAACAACACCACAAAGGAGCTGATATCCACACTAAAGTGACATTCAGGAACTGGAGGGCTAAGTCACTTACCTGGAAGAGTATGAAGATGAGGAAGAGCTCATACACCACACTGACACACAGCCAGAACCTCCAGTAAGCTGCAGAGAGAGAGAAAGGGGTGTCAGCAAGTGTCCAGCTAACCAGCAATTAATAATTCACTTACTGCAACATCACTGAACAGAGAATCACACAACGGTTTGGGCTGAAGGGGCCTGAATGCCCATCCAGTTCCATGGGCAGGGACACCTTCCCCTAGCCCAGGTTGCTTCAGCCCCATCCAGCCTGGCCTTGAACACTGCCAGGGACGGAGCAGCCACAGCTTCCCTGAACAACAATTTTGCTCCAGGAAGGGATGCTCCCACCAAGTAGTTGATAAATCCCAGCACTCAAGCACAGTGTTTCCCACCCTTCCTCAGAGGCACAACCAGAAAGGATCTTCCTCTCCCAGCCAGGCTGCTGTGTGCACCTGCTGGAATTGCCCAGGCACTGACCAGGATGTGGGAGAAGGGACCAGGATGCGGGAGAAGGGACCAGGATGCAGAAGAATATTTCAACCCAGGGAACTCAGCAGTTAAGAATTAGAAGGAATGGTATGTGGTATCCACAGTGCTTCCCAGCAGTCCTTGAAGGAGAACTACATCCTTCCTGAACCTTCTCCCTGATCTAAGGTGCCTTGACCTGTCCAACCTTGGCTAAACCAGACACTCCTGAGACTGGCTGGAGCCATTTCTGGAAGCACAGCTTTCTCCCTGGACACAAGGCTGTGTCCTCACAGGGCACTGCAGAATCCCAAAGGGACATTCACTTCTACTTGGAATTACATTTAAAAATGCACCAAAGGCTTAGCAGGTGGTGGATGTAAGACCTGTGAGAAGATCTGGAACTCTCCATAATAAATGCTATGCAAAGGTCAGAGCCTGAGGTGTTCTCACCCTTCCCAGACTGTGATTACAGATCTTCTCACACCAAAGTAACTCCTGAATCCAAAGGGTGCACAAATTACAGTGTCTCCACATTTTCAGCTCCATCCTCAGTACCTCAGCATTCCTGGCAGGCTCAGCCCTTGGGTCACAGGCTCTGTGCCTGGCCTGGATGGAAGCTTTGTGCTCCATGAGCTCATTCCTGCCCCTGATCCATCCTGCTCCACCTTCATCGCCACACTTCTCCCTCCAGAACTGAGCACTTTCCCTCAGATGGCACTGCCAATGCCTGGAAATGCTGGTTTTGCTGTCCAATAAACCCTGTGAGGCAGATTTGGCTCTGCCCACAGCCAGGATGTCTATGAGGGATGTCTCTCTCTCAGAGAGCAGAGACACCTAAATCCTTCTCTGGGCTTTCCTGCTCCTCTCTGTACAGGGTTCTGGCAGCAGGAGCTGCAGCTGCTGAACACGCTCAGCAAAGAATCATAATCAACAATTAAGACGTGGTTCTGATTTGGTGTTTAGCTTTCTCACAGCTGACTCAAGTCCCCCAGAGGATTTGAAGACTACTCTGGGCCTGCACACCACAAGCACCATGTGTTCAAGGCTGTACAAACACTGTGTTCCCTCTCTTCCTGGACCAGTTATTTTTTGCATGTCTAATATTTGTTTTCCTTAAAAGCACTTGGCACCAGGAACTTCCCTCAAATGAGGGCTCTTTTCCTTACAGAATAGGCTTCAACTAACCATTTACACACCTGAGAGCCAAGGGATTCCTAGGATCAAGCACTAAACTGCTGCCATTGCAGGAGACCTGGGAACAGGAGATGAACACTGAAGGGCAAGGGGGACACTGGGAGGGTAGGAGGGACACTGAGAGGGAAGGGGGGACACTGGGGGAGGTCAAGGGGGACACTGGAAGCCAGTGGTTTACAAGAAGGAAATGGCAAATGGGCTAAAAGCAGGAGAAGTTGGTAAAGTCCTGCCTAAACAGCTATAGCTACTTCTTTCCATGGTATTTCTACAGTCTGGACTACAGTGAGGCCACTGGAATATATCCATGTAGCAAATTATTGGCTAAACTGGAGAAAATGGGAAGTTGTGTAAAACCAGTAGGAAATTGGTAAAGCTGGCTGAGCCCTGGCTCCAGCTGCCATGGCCAGTGATACTGAAAAGGCAGCCAAAAAAAGAACTAAAGCCCTCAGGCTGGCCAGATGCCACTGAGGTGGTGGCTGGGATCAGTTTCCTTAATGGCCTTAGTGCAAAGTAGGTTAATGACACACAGCAGAGAAGGCAGGGCCAGCAAGGAGAGAATCAGATGATCCCCAGGGACTGGGAGTGAGCTCCTAACACAGCTCCACATCCCAGACCCAGGAGGTTTTCCTGCAGCTCAACAGATGAAGCAGGAGGATTGGGGATTACCTGCCAGGTGAGTTGGCACAGGTGAGCTGTGTGTAAATACATCAGGGGGATAAAGCACAGCAAGAACAGACATTTAAACAGAATAACAACACTGGGCAGAAAAAGATCAGGAAAACAGAAGCCACCTCTGAGCTGGTGGTAAATTGGTACACACACACACTGAGTATCAGGGCTCCACCATCACTGCCAGCATTAGGGCTCAGGCCCAGCTGCCCTTCAGATCCAGCTTGAGGAGCTCAGGGAACAGATCCTGCACCTGCTCCTGGAAGAGCACCTGGAAGCTGGCTCAGGCACTCCACTGCCTGGGGGGAACTTCCCAACACTCCCTCAAAGTGGGGAGCGGCTGCCCATTCTGACAGGGCTGCCAGGCTGTGCCTGTGGAGCCTTCCCATGGGATGGGGATGGAGACATCCTGTCCTGAACCTTCCAGCAGGCACCTGGGGTCCTGCTGTGACTGGGGGAGCACCCACTGTCCTGGTGAACTGCTACAGCCCCTGAAAACACCTGCTCAGCCCAGTCCACCACTAAGGCAGAGGGAAGGTGAGATAAAGACAGGAGATGACAGGAATACATTCAGGATTGAGGTGACTGAATACACAGGAGCTTCTGCCATCCCCCTGTCGATGGACCTCTGGATTCTGCTGAAGGACACTCAGCTTCATTCCAGTGCTGTTCCTAGGACAGGAGCACACACAGGTGCTGGACACTGGCTCAGTCTACACCAGGAGTTTGCTGCAGAGACCTCTGACCTTAAGCCTTTCCCCTTCCAATTTGTACTACTTTGTTCCACGGGGCTAAAACATCCAGCCCAGACAAATCCACTGATGTTCTAAACCTGAGAGCCCTCAGGTATCACTGGTGTCCTCAAAAGGAGTGATTGGTTTTACAGGAGGGACCAGGATTAACTGTAGCAGAAGGAAAGACTTCACCTGACTGTAGGAGAGCTCAATGCTTTCAGGAATATTATTTAAGCCTATACAAATTCCCTTCATCCTTAATGATTCGCATCTAAAAATAGGCAAAAGATCAAAGATGTGAAAATATTTCCATACTTCACTAAATGGAAGAGGTTTTGTGTTCTGCTTTCAAGGCTCCCAGTCTGACAAGAAAACCTTAAAATCATAACCAAGAGCTTCTCATCTCCCACTCTGTGGCTAATGGAGCAGAGGGAACACAGTGCTCCAGCACTGGATACACAGTCACAAGTGCAGTCACAGTACAGAGAGGAGAAAAAAAGAGAGGCTAAAGAGTGGAAGTTCAGGTTACAAGAGCCTGGCAGCTCACTCAGAGCTTTGTACTAACAACAGGAAGCCAAAAAGGGAGATCCAAAGCAAACCTCCATGCTCCATGTAGCCTGGAAGCCCAGCAGGATGCTGTCTGGAGCCTGGGTGAAAGCCTATGTGCTAAGTGTGCAGTGCTAATGAACCTCTGTGATTATTTAATGACAACTTACCTTCTCTCCAGGCCACACAAACATTTCCCTTCACCATAAACCAGAGAGAAGCACTGGAGAGAGTGAGGTGACTTACCTGGGTGAGGCCTTGAGAATGGTCCATCTTTAGCTTGTGTCACCCCAAAACACAAGAACACCAAAATACTGGCAACGATCCCTCTGCAAGGGAAAAGAGAACAGCTGTTTGCTTGCTTCATCCTCCTCAGGAGGCTGCAAATGACATTTCTGTGATGTGAGAAACATCTGACCTTTGTTTTTTAACTGCTGAGCATGTCCATGATGAATGGATGCCTGTTGGAGATTGTATTCTAGGGCCATGGAGATGAATTCCTGCAGGTTTAATCTGGTTTCATGACAAACTGCCATCCTTGCCTCCCCTTCCCCACTGCTACTCACTTGCTTCCATCCCCTCCTTTCTGCTGCCATTCCCTAACACCTGGGCAGGCAGGTGAGGAGCCTCATCCAGCTGACAACCATCCAGAAAAACCACCCAGCGCATCAGTCCTCAAGATTAAAATCCCACACAATGAGGTGCACAGCGAGTCAAACACTTCCCTGTGACTGTGAGCAGCTTTTATTTCCACTTGGTCCCAAAAGCACTCAGGATTGAGCCATAGGAAAGCGCTCACTGCTCCACTAAATTTCCAGGAAATTTAATAAGGAGTTGTTATTGTTATCTTGCTGCTATTTCAAGAGTTGGAACTATAATACAGAGCCCAAAGAACAGACATCAAATAAAAATTTGGGCTCAGCCCAGGAGCCCAAATATACAGAAGACCCACAGCCCTAGGCATGGTCTTTTGGTTTTCATGGGATGAAAAGGTACAAATGAATCCAAAAGTGCTCTTTTTAATAGCTGAACTCCCACTAGGTCCTTCATGCTGTCTCATCGCACCTGCTGAAGGGCTGGAAAACTGGGAAATAGCTTGTTCCCTGTTAAATTGCCTGACTGTAAATGAAATGGCTCAGTCTGCAGGAGCCACAGAAACCCCCAAAAATTCAGACAGAAAACCCCCAATAATTCTGCTGCTAGTGAGCAAATGCTACACACTAGAACCAAAAGGAGATTATTCCTGCTTTAAATGTGTCAAAAATTCCTTTCAAAATAGAAAACTAAAGGATTTATGAAAACTATTTGGTGAAATTCACCTTTGAGTATAAATGTTTGTGCTGCCTGAAAATAAAAATAGGGTTTAGTTAACAGCTGTAACTCAGTTTTGCTTGCTTGAACACACTGAATGAGCTGCTGAATTGAGCTGTGAACAGACAGTTCTATGGGGATTTCCAAAGCTCTGGATGCCAAAATCCTGTCATCTGCCCTCAGATAATAAGAATATTCTGCATTTGGAGGCACTAGGTATATCTAGAAACAGCAGGACTGGCAACTGTGGGTGGGACAGCCTGCAACGTGTGTGGTGTGACAACACCCATCCCTGCTCACAGCCTCTGTGCCCAGCCATCAGCTGAGGGGCCCGAGGAAACCGCTGTGGGCCTCGTGGGTCATTTTCCTGAAGCTAGACATGACCTGAATCCAAATCACCACAGAACTTAGTTATGCTCCTCCTAAAAACCACTCTCAGCCCAACAGCAGCAGTGCTGACACACACTGGGGGTCAGACATACTCCCTTCAAGCTCCCCGTGGGAAGTCTGGATCATAGACTTGCATAATACCCACACCAGTTCCATTACATATTCTTTTTCCCAGTGGTAACTGCATTTTCTCCTTAGTATCACTAATGTGACTTCTTAGGAAGCTTCCCAGGCCTCCTCAGCAACCTGGCCTGAGTCAGGAATGCTCCAGGATCTCAGAGAGGCTTTCTTTTCCTCACCTGGATGGACACAGCCAGTGGGATTTCCTGACATGAAACACTAACTTGTGCCTACAAAAACCATTTCAGTCCTTAACCAAACAAGAAAGGAAGAACCTGGCAGCAGCTTGCTCAGCACAAACAAACTCTTGTTTGTGCTAAGCAGAGACACAGGACAATGCAGCTTGTCTGAGTAGCTGTGTGTGGCCCTTTGTGCTGGGATTCCAGCAGTCAGCTCCCACTCCCTGTCCCTTCCCAGGCTGCACCCACACTGGCACAGCTGGCACAACCCCCTCAGCAGTGCTACCAGCCCTGGTAGATGGGCACATGCAGGTTTGGCCTCCTTGGGACCTCATTTTCCTTGTGGGTGTTCAGCCCCAGCAGTTAGAGATCACCAACATGCAAACCCACTTGTCCCTGGATCTGTCCCTGTGGCTGTTCAACGACTGTCAAAACCTGGTGTGGAAAAGGCATCTCAGAAGAGACATTTCAGGGCTTGAAATTCAATGTACAACCCTGATGCACATAGGGCTTTAACTTGGATGTGTTTCATATGGAAAAAAACCCGAACTTTTTCCTGAGACCCCTTGGCATTCACAATTATTTGGGAGTTCTGGATTTGTGGATGGTATGCAAGCGAGGTGCTGAAGGTTTCTTTGGCTACTCTCAGAACTGGAGCTCAGTCCTGTCCCTCCTGAGTGCTGAACAGAGAACAAGGTGACAGCTGTCAGTCAGCATGGACTATTCCAAGGCTGTACTGAAGGCTGGAGGAACTGTGGGAATAAAGCCCTCATGGATCAGACAGGTCTGCAGCACAACATCTCTTTGCCTAATGTTCCACTGTCCTTACAACAGAGGCAGTTTGATCACACATGTCACAGGATCATCTGTGTGATCCTAATGAACTCTGACTAGATTTACATATAAAAGAACTCTATAAATCTTATCTTAAATAATCCTCCTTTAATTGTCGTGACCTGCTGCAGGAAGGAAAGTGCCACTAGAACACGAGACAGACGCAAACACGAATCTCAGCTATGGATACCACACCCCATGAGCTCAGAGGTTCCTGCTCTCAGTTGGGTTTTGTCCATCATTTCTCCTGATGATTTATTCCCTGAAACCACCATTCACCCCGCTCCTGAGAGCGACCACATGGAGCACTTTTCTAGGGTAGTAATAGGGTCATATAATCCTGATTTTGCAGGGATGACTCCAGTCCGGGAAACACAGGGCCAGTATGGCAATTTGGGAGCTTCACCTCAATTCACTGCTCTGCTTTGTGCACCTCCTGCAGCTCTCAGGCACCTCAGCCAGAGCTTGGAAACAAAGAAGAATGGAGGGACTGGAAGTGTGTGTTCAAGCTCTGCACCTATCCCCAAACACTGCTCCACTGTCAGTGTGCAGGAGGTGGAAATAAAGCCCCCTGACAGCTACGGACACTGCTCAGTGGTGACAAACCACTCCTAGTCATTAGGCAGTGAGTGTTCCCATGGGATAGCAGCACACAGGGACAGCCTCGTGCTGGCCTACATCTGAAATCAGAATACAACACAGCTCTGCATTGAGATCTCAGAGCAGGATAAGGGATCCGAAGTTATGGAAGCAAAAATCTGTGAAAACTGGGGCTATGGATATACTTGAGCACATTGTGACCATCCTGCCCTGAAATGCGTTTCTGTTCAGATACACACTTAAATATATAATTCCCTTGCTCAGATTTACACTTAAGGATCCAGGAACAATGAGATGTAAGAGAGCAGCAGGTTCCCAGACATTGCAGAAACTAAGAACAAGAGCTGGGATAGGGATTGAGCTGGAATCCTTCCTGCCTGATGGTGCTAAGTTTGGTGGGCAGCAAGACCTCAGCAGAGAGGCACATGGTGGGATTGCTGGGGCTGTGCTGTGCAGGGCCAGGAGTTGGACTCTGATGATCCTTGTGGGTCCCTTCCAGCTCAGGATATTCCATGATAGGCAGAGCTCACTGAGAAGGGACTCAGCAAAAGGAGTGTGTGGAACTGCCCAGGCACATTCATCCCTTCCAACCCTCCTGGGAATTGGGGCCAAGGCAGAGGGAAAGCTTAGGGAAAGGCCCACAGGACTTGTGGTTATATCTGCACTGATGTTTAGCTTGGAAAAAGGAATGATTTGGCTGAGTTAACTCCTCCCTCCGTGGACATGCAGCTTGGATGACCACAGCAACAGCCTGAACAGAAACAGGGATGTATAAAAGCTGGAATAATGGGAAGACCCTGTCCAATCCTCAGGATGCTGCTTTTGAAGCATTTTTGGTGACTAGATCTTGCAGACATGATCACAGCACCTTTGCCACTCCTTCCCTGGGATGATGCTGTGAGTTGGTTTAACAACTGGGCACAATATTCCCTGCAGTGAGTATACAAAAAGCAGCTTGTGTTTCCAGAGGGAGAGGTTCACCTGCTGACTCACCTCCCCTGAGTTTGTTTTTATCAAGCAAAGGCTCTAAGCTCAATAATAAGATATTCCACTGAGTCACCTTAGCTCTGCATCACTCCCTAAGGATGTGCCATCACCCCTCTTCTGGCTTTTCCACTTCCCTGTTCTGAACAGCCACTCCAGAGCATGTCACACCTCCAGCCTGGACCTCCTCATTGTAAGCAGGAATCAAATTACATTTGTTCACAGCAAAGCCTTTCAGAACCTTTCCCAGCTCCAGACAGCTCCCAGCGTGTTCCGTTTCCCCTCCATGTGTAAAATCCCAGCCCTTGGCCAGGCACTTCTATCAGTCATGCAGGATGACTTCTATCAGACTAGCTCAGGATATACCCAATTCCTGCAGTTCTAGGACAATGAATGTTATATCCTGAGTCACTTCAGACATGTACAAAAATAGGAAGAAATCCTTTAACAGCAAGTGGGGAAAAACCTTTTCTATTTCAGAAACCAGACTGGTAGAAAACACTGCTTTTCATGCTTCTAGCAAGGATGCTTTGCAGTGTGTGTTTAAAACACATTTAACTTTTTAAAAGGCCACTTTTCTACCTCCTTTTCCTTCCCTACTGTATTTAAAAAGAGGAATCAGTTTAATCACTGAATCAATTTAAATTACAGTATCAAAGGACCACATATGTCTCATTCTTTTTTCCCCAAGAGTTTCCCTTTGGGCAATTTTCATCACCAATAAAGAAGGATTTGTGTGGAAATCTTGAACATGATTTTACAAAAAGCACTCGAGTCAGAAAAATTTAGCCACAGTTCCCATCATTTAGAGATTATGGTTATCTAAGAAAAGGCTATTTTAAGCTAAAGAAGCAGAACCATTGCCAAAGAAACCCAACCAGTACTTCAAGGCTTTAGCAATTTTGTGTTTTGTTCTAAATGACAAGACACAGCAGCCACAGGTGTGACAGTGACACTAAGCTGATTAGAAATTCAACTCAATGATCAGCATCAAAGAAGCTTATGGATTTATGATCAGTTTGACACATTCTAAGGGTTCAGGCACTTCAGCAAGAAAGTGCACAGCTCCCTTTCTCACAGGATAAGAGTGTGGACAGTAACCTGATCCTACAGCCACCCACCTCCAAAGCACAGCTAGGAAACCCCCTCAGGTGTTACCTCTTTGTGTTGTAGGCTGTGTCCTGTGGAGTCTCTTCCAGCAAGGTCACGTAGCCCAGAGCACACGTGAGAATGAACAAGACTGTTAAGGTATGAGCTCTCCTGAAATCCAGAACAGAGAAAAATGGCATTAAAAGGCATCAAAACTTACATGTTCCCTGGTTAGTGCAGCCTCAGGAGACCAAATACAGCCAGGAGTCAGGAATACTGAGGGTTTCTGTACTGCACAGCACAGAGTGCAGAGCTCACAGTAGCACTACATGGGAACAGCAGCACCATGGGAAATAATAGCACTGGGTGCTAACAGCTGGATCTGAACAGCTCTAGGTCTGGCAGATCCATACCTGACAGTGCTGCTCTATTTCACAGCCTACTAATAAAAATGTTGGGAAAGCTTCAGGAAGAAATTCTTCTGGCACAGGCACAGGTTGTCCAGAGAAGCTGTGGCTGCCTCATCCCTGCAAGTTGGACGGCGTGTGGGGCGGCCTTGGCGATGGGAAGGTGTCCCTGCCTATGGCAGGGGGTGGGACTGGATGGGCCTTAAGGTCCCTTGAACCCAAAACATCCTGGGATTCTGTGAGTCCATCAAAAGAGAGCAAGCAAAGCACACTCAAAAGACCCAGGAGTTAGGGACAGGAGTGCAGCAGGTCACACACACACAGCTACACCCAACTACACCCACTCATTACCACAGAGAATTCTTACAGTGTCACATCTTATTTCATTTAAAGTTGACATTTCCTTTCCTAATGAGAAGCCATTTGTTGTTTTCAGTGGAAAACACCTCTGGCCTTAGCTGGGAAGCATGGGAAGTCTGTCCATGGAAGACCAAAGGATAAGACAGGAATTCTAGATCAGAGGACCACAATATCTAACATAAATTATTAAAACAACTCAGGTACATGTAGGAAGGTTAAAGAGGTAACCTGTGAAAGAAAGTGCCTGTATGTGACATATTTGTACAGACTGGCTCTATTTCCATTTCCTTTATCTATTCCATTGGAACAGCAGCTCACATTCCAACTCCGTATCATGCCAACAGACCAAGGTGTGTCTATCCAAGCTGTGCAGTACATGATAAACCCAAGTCATCCACTGACTTACCTTCAGCCAACCCACGCAGTAACCCACCACAACTGCTCTGAGAGCCAAGGCAAATGTGATTTTGAAGGACAATTCCATCCTACTCCAATCCCAGGCACTCACAACATCCTGCAATCCCCTTGGAAACAAGCAATACCTCATAAGCAGACTCACTCCTCTTCTGTCACTGCTCAGAGAGTTTGGCACTGAACTCTCTCCTTTGCAGTCCCCAGGACACAGACTAGACAGCTCCAGGAGAGAAACCAGAAGGATCCACGGGTATTCCCAGAATTAGCAAGGAATCAAGGTGTCAAAGCCCAGGGAAAGGCTCTGGAGCCACACTGCTGCTCAGCAGCTGCATCTTGCCTTGTGTCACCTCCCCAAGTGTCAGCACAGGTGATTGAGCCATCGCAGCCTCCCAGGCCGTGGGGCTTGTCCTGGATCCTGCAGCAACTGGAAAAACTAACCTCCTCCTCTCGCAGGAGGCAGAGCAGCAGGGACTCCCATCACACCATGGGCTTTATATATATACATCTTTATATGTATTTTTATATGCATTTATAGGTATATGCAATTACCACAAAACACCTACATTTGAGCATCAAAACCATCACATTAACTCAAGGCTGGTTTTATATTTTATGCCTTGTTTCATTGCTTAGTTTTGAAACTCCTGTCTCATATTCCACTGTACCATTTCACTGCCTGAACACCTACATGACTTTTACAGTGCATTCAGTGTTACACAAATTCCCAAAAAATCAGTGTTTAGCACATCCTCACTGGGATATAAACACCTCTAGAAATTCCTCTTACTGCACAAGGATGTCTAGTTCCCTTCCTCCTCATGGCACAGCAAAGGGTCAGTGTTGGGGAGCCTCCTGCACCCTGTTTTCCATGAATTTTTGGTGCCACAACCATAAGCTTGAGAGAGTCACCCAGCTGTCCTGTTCCAGGGGAAACTGTAGGCTCATCTCTCATCACTTCCCTTCTAGCTCAGCTTTCATCTCCAGTTGCACCAGATTCCCTGGGAGCAACTTTTCAGGGGGGCTGGTTAGTCATGTAAAGGTGCTTCCAGTGCAGTGTGAAATCCAGGAGCCAGGACGAAAGGATTTGGAGAAGGTTTGTCCTCTGGAAAGAGCAAGCTGGCAGCTCTACAGAGAGCTGAGTGGTGACACAGCAATGCAAGCTGCCAGAAGCAGCACACAAATCCTCTCAGAGGGAAAAAACCCAAGGAAATATAGACATATACCGTCTTTCCACAGCCGGGGAGGTAAAAACAAACTCCAGGAAAAGGAGAGGCACACAGGAGTGCTCGGGTGAGTGATCAGGATTTCACTGCTCAAAGGGATTGTTTTCATCTCCACACACACTTTAAAGTAACACACGGCAGAGGAAGATGAGCTGAGAACATCCCCAGCAAGGTAAGCACAGTGGGAATTACACAGAAAGGCTTATGTTCTCTTGGCCTGGAGCCTGGGAGGCTGCAAAGAGCTAAGCTGGGCACACCAGGAATCTTCCCCTCGGAATTAGGAGGGCGCTTGGGCAGCACGCCCGAGGCAAAGGGGGAAGAGAGCACACACAGCCAGTTCTAGGAGGTTTCACATCACAAACTCTGGGAAACATTGCCTGAAGTGTATGCACACAAAAATATCTAAGAGGATTCACAACAAATCCCAAACTTTTAAAAAGCTGGAACATTAAGTAGCTTATTCTGCACCACACATGTGGCTCCTTCCCCACTCAAACCCCGGAGACTGAAGGGCAGTAAGTCAGGTTTGGTTTACAACCCCCTTGCCCTGCTAATTCCAGTTCCAAGCAGAGCAATTCTGGCAGCAGCATCAGCCCAGCACACCTCTCCTGCACTGAAGCTCACACAAAAGCGGGATTTTTCCACTTAATGGGATTAAATTATCTTTCTCATGTTAAATCATCTCCTGTCACATGGAGCAACTGCAGGTTTGTCAAGGAAATTACTATCAATGCTTTTATCTTCCAAATGAAGTATATGACACACATGACCTACGGAAACTGCTGAAATCCCTCTTTTGGGGGGAGATCCCTGCTGGAAAGAAGACAGTAACACCCCGGAGTGGGTGCTGATGGCCTCATTCCATCTCCCACAAACTCAAATCAGCTCAGGAGGGACTACACCCTTGTTATCCACTGCTTGTTTGTCACAAGTGATGCAACAACTCCACTAAACACCACAACAATCACTGGAACACCATGCAAAGAATTTATTTATCCATGCTTTGGTCAGTTCTCCTAAGAGAGAAAAGATTCCTAAAGGAGAGCCAACCCAGTTTGCTTCTTGGGTTGGAAAGGTTGCATTGATTGCTGCTGCTGGAGAAAGGAGCTGTCAGCAAACCCAATTAGTCCCAGCAGTGACTTGTTCATTATTTCTTTGTTTACTCCAAATAATGGTAAAATCATGAAAGCATTGCTGAAAGGGATTTGTAAGCTAAATGGATGTCAGAGCTGGGTGTCCTCCACAAAACAACACATCACCTGGGAATTCTAAAATATGTCAGAGTACAACAAAACTATTCCTCCCACAGCAGCATAGGGTTTGTGTGAGGAGTAAGACATGGGAAAATGCAGCAGAGACTGAGAATAATTTAAAACCAACCAATATTTTGACATTCAAAATAAAAAGTGTAACTAATAGGGAAACTGCTGGGAGAGAGAAAGGGTTTGGGAACCTTCAACACAAGTCTAACCATACTAATATCCCTGTTGGGTGGAGGTTTAGGCTGTGTTTAAAGAGCTGTTTAAACCTTCAGAGTTCCCAAACCTGTCCCTATTCTTAGAGCAGCCTCACGCCTTGGGCACATCCATGGAGTCAATCACAGAGCTGATTGAATTTCCATATGGACTTGGGACACTCCAAAATAGCAACATGGATTTTCCTTGCTGTGAGCTTGTGCCTCTCCTCAGACTAGCACAGGGACACAGACCACCAGAGCAGCCAGAGCCACGGGGCAAAGCTTCAGCTAATCCATGCTATTCCTTTGAGCCAGGAGAAAAAACAAGTTTTCAAAGCTTCCCAAGTTCCCATTAGTTCCACAGAGATCTCAAGTCCCCCAAAAGCTCTGTTTTAATTATTAAACATTTTTATCTGTGTTAAATAATAATAATTATTAAACATTTCAATCCATGTCTCAGATATTAGTTTAGAGCAGTTCCACTGGCACAGGTAACTGGGAATTACAGGTAACATATTTTTTCCTCATTCCCATTAAAGCTTTGGGAGTGTGTTCAAAAAAAAAAAAAAAGGAATCTAGAGAATTCATGGCAGGCCTAATGCCCAGGTGAGGCACAGGGTCTCTCCAGAAAGATATTCCTTCTGCACTTCCAGCTTGAAGGAACCATGCAATGCCTTCCTTTGAGGAAAGGGCAATGCCATTCCCAGGAGGCATCCCCTCATCCGTGACCAGTTCGCGCACCCAACTGGAGCACGTGGCTGACTGGGATTGCACAAGTCTGTCCCAGCTCCCAAACCCTGCCAGGGCTGGAAAGGCACGGCTGGGTGACACAGGGTTCTGGAGCAAAGTTCCTCTGCTCCAGCTCAGCAATTCCACTGTGGTGAACCCT